TATATATATATAGATATATACACATACATACATACACACACATATGCATACGGTATATACAGACGGTATTTATATACATATACATAATGTATTTCTTTTTTTCTTTTTCCTCCCTATATCCCCTGAAGTCCGACAGCATTTTTGCCAGTGTCTCTGTTTCACACATTACATCTTTTAGGTTTTGTAATCTACCCTAACGTATTTTTCAGGACAGATAGAGCTTTAATTTGGTTTCTGGAAAATAAATAGTAGAACATTTGAAAACAATTTATTTTCCAGTAATTTTTCCCAACATTTACATAATTTGCACGCCTCCATATATTTACCACAAAATGTAATAAACAAAGTCTACTGATTAAAATTACATCTCATTAGTGCAACTTTTATGTAGCATATACTGTACATGATGTTTGCTCAAAGTGTACGTTTAAATGTGTAAAAGTGTAAGTTTTTTTCAGTATGCTTTGTGAACAGGAACACATAACGAACATAGAGAGGAGTTTTCTCAAATTTGACTGCAAAAATGGAAATACACTAGTAAAATGCATGGTAATAAAATACAGTACATATAATGCACAAAATAATATTAAATGTATGCCTCAATTTTTTTAATGTTTTTTTTTCCAGTGGAAACTGGGAAACTGGCTCCTGAATTGCAGGGAAGATACTGACTGGAGCCTGCACACCAATGAGCTACTTTTCAGACCATGCAAAAATTGAAAAAAGGGCCTCAGTCATGAAGGGGTTAAGACACAGGTTAGGGAAATTGTGACCAAAGCTTGCATGGCCATCCTCCTTTCCGCACCTCACCCCACTCATTACCTCTTTGCTTCCAAAGTCTTTCCGCTGGCCAAAGAAACAATTTATCACAACGGGGAGCCATAAGAACAGTCCAAAGTGTGACCACATACTGTAAGCTTTTGTTTCAATTTACATAACAGTTCTGTGTCCACTTCAAATCAACCAATTACCCTCATACATTACTCTATGCCTTCGCAAATGTGTTCTGTTATGTCAAAACAATAAACATCTTTGATTTGAAAAAGTACATATCCAGTGAACTCTAATCACTTATGTGCAGTTATTCCGATATGGATCCTGATCCTTACAGAAAAAGTGAGTTCCAATATACAAAAACACAGAACATCACTTGTGGGTATATTCAAAAAGTATTAAATCTTTTTTTTTATATTGATAAATATCTGTTATTATTAAATTATTATTGTTATATTACCTAATTACTAGGGCTGTTACTGATTAAAAAAAAAATTAAATGAATCGAACTCGAAAATTTTAATCGATTAATTTCGATTAATTATAACGCACATACAGATCCAACTACATTGGCCTATACACATACAGCACAGCAATGAAGTAATAAAATGAACTAGGATCACACTAATCCAGCACGTTATTAATCTCACGTGCCCCATTCAATATGGCGGCCGCTTGAGTGGGGCAAATCAGAATAATAACGTGCTGGATTAGTGTGATCCTAGTTCATTTTATTACTTCATTGCTGTGCTGTATGTGTATAGGCCAATGCCTTGGCTGACGCTCGTGCAGAGTGTCAGCACTTCCGGTTTCGTTACAACTAAGAGGTTAGGCAAAGTGTCGACAGATCACCGGCTCAAGTGGCTCCGTCGGCTAACGAAGGGAAGGGGGGAGGAGCCCGTTGACGTCACAGACATCGACGTCACCGGACTCCTCCCCCCTTCCCTTCGTTAGCGAATGGAGCCACTTGGGGAAGGGGGGCGGAGTCCGGTGACGTCGATGTCCGTGACCTCACCGGATCTCCAACGGAAGACCCGGAAGCCGGACGGAGAGGTGAGTGTTTTCATTATTGATCAAAATCATTTTAATCGATCAAAAATGTTAACGATTAATCGGGTAATTAATCGTCAATTTCTGCAGCCCTACTAATTACCACACAAATTATTTTGAAAACAAGTTTGTGGTGGCAGTTTTTGCTTTGTAAGATGGTGAGCATAATCAACATATAGGTGAACTTGCAAAAGTGGGAGGATGGGTGTCCAGATGTAACAGTCCAAGAGCCGTTGACTATACTTTTCAGTGCTGAACGTCCAGTGTTGTTTGCTTTGGTTAGGTGTTTTTGTGCTGAAAACTAGTGAAAATATTAAAGCATTACTTATTATCTGAGGACTAAAAAATTTCCCCACGGTAAAACAAGCTACTCTGTTTAAACCTTAAAGTAACACTAAGCTCAGGAGTTAAATCTTAAAAATGGATTCAAGTACTTAAACCATTAAGAAAAATGTATCTTATTTGTGTATCACTCGGCTGTAGATCCTCAAATCATCTCTGAATTGGTGCGGACACTATCCTTCCTTCTGGATGGTGGATACTTTTCTTCCCCATGGTCCCTGCTTGTGTTGTAAAGTAGCCACCGCTCCAAGCTCACTCCCGTGATAGAGTACAATACAAATGAGTAAACTAAAAGTGAGATTGTAGTCCATCACAGGAGTGAGCTTTAGCTACTTTACAACACACACAGGAACCATGGGGAACAAAAGTAGCCACCCTCCAGAAGGAAGGACAGTATCAGCACCAATTCAGAGATGATTTGAGGATCTACAGCCGAGTGATACAAAAATAAGCTGAATTTCTGTTAATAGTTTAGGTACTTGAATGTATTTTTAAGATTTAACTCCTGAGTTTAGCGTTACTATAAAGAAGTATTAAACGCTCAAACTTTTTTTCAATAATGAATCCAGATGAAACAAATATACATCACCCAGCAAAGTATTTCTTTACATTTTTGCCCAAGTACTTACAATCATCTGAACAGCTGGCTCCCATTCTCTAAGCTCTGCTTCCCTGAACTTCCTGTCTAGTACATGGTCCCCTGTATCAGTGCTTAGGCCTAGTAAAACGTAACCTCTAACTGATCGCTTTAACTTGTATCCCCCCTTCTCTAACATTTATAACCTAATGCAGGCCTAGTCAACCTTTGCCCCTACAAGTCTCACAAGGCAATGCAAGGCTCTGAAAGCCAGAACCACTACTTTCAGGCAGATACATGATGGGATTTTTAGTTGGAGGGCCAAAGTTTGGCTACCCATCTCAAGGTAACTTTTAATCTCCTCCAATGACTGACCCCTACACTACTGCCTATAGGCAGCAATAGTGTCCCTATAGTGTCAGCACATCAGCTGGAAATGAAAAAAAGATAGGAGACAGACCAGTGGCACAGTGTCTGAAGAACTGCAAGTTAAGCTTTTTGACTGGAGTTCCCCTTTAACAAATCAACAAATTCTGAATAAGGTCAGTACAGAAAGTGTATTGTGTAATGACAGAGGCAGTTGCAGTCAACAGGAAGCAAGTTGAGTCAGCGTCTATAACTTATTGTATATCTACAACCATATAGTATTGAAGGAATTAAGACAACAAAAACCTTTTGTGACAACAAAAAGTCTAAAATATTCACGCTGTACCTTAATCCTCCTTATGCTGACTTTGGCCTCAGATACCCTCTCAATAGCTGAGGGGAAGAAGAGAGTGACAGTGAGTCTCACTGCACTATAAAGGGACACTGCAACAAACACTCGACTGGCTGAGATAACATTGCCAAGCAGAACATACGTGGTGAAAGTTACAAACACAATGATTTTGCTTGCAACAAAGAAAGAGGCCAGGTTGATTCCACGTAGATAAGAGCTTAGAAGGACTTTGGCAATCTCCTTCCTAAAATGGTAAAAGCAAAACAGAAATTGTTTCAAACCACTGAGAATACATGTAGAAATGCATCACATCAATCAAAAGAAGAGCATATATCCTTTAGGAATAGTCAAAAATATAGCTTACTACAGACAAATACATGGTGACAACGTGAAATATACAGAAATAGTCAAACTGCATATTGGTGTCTTTGTTTACTAATAAGAAGCTCAATGTATAACAACCTCAGAAAAATGACAACTGTAATCTGATTAGTTACTACATGCAGCATAGATACAAGCACATGTAGTTGTTGCAGATTCCCCAGGTAACTTTCCTGGCACATTGAAAATCAAAGGCCACCACTGAATGTTGGATTTTCCCAATTTCATTTATTTAAATATTAAATACAGATTTCAATGGGGAATTGTATCAGCCAAAGTCTACAAAATTGGAAGATTTCTTGTAAGTTGTACCAAACATCCCAAACTTTTTAGCTAAGCTGCTCAAACAATACACCTTTATATCACCCCAATCTGCTGTAAAACATCAATACAATACTGTCATTATGGTAAACATATGTACTGTTTTCATACAACCTGACCTGCATTTTTTTTAGTCTGGAGATTAGTTAATAAAACTATATAGCAACCTGTTGAGGATATTCTCCTATCCAGCCCAGCCCCCCTTCTATGCCAATCCTCCCCAAGCCCCCCTTTATTTTTCCTCTTCTTATTTTTCTTTCTTTCTCTTATAAATCTCTGAGGACCATACCTTTAGAATATGTGCAGACACCTTCTGGGATCTTTCCTTATATTATTTGGCATACCCATGCTTCCTTGATGCCCATCTGCCATTCTTATTCCTATTGGTATGTCTCTTATCTTCTTATGCTACATTGATGTTTATATGGAATCCTAACTGAATTGTTAATTATAGACTTTGGCAAGTATAACAAATAACAACAAACAAATTGTGCAATAAAGAATTTATTTAAAAAAACAAAACCCCATAAGAGTAAACTATATAACTAACTTGACCAAAGTGATCTGTGACCTGGACAGAGGAAATAGGTACAGCAGAAACAAATACAAAATCTGATAACTAAACTTTGATATATATCAAATAAAATTCAAACCAGAGAAGATACTATGCAATGGTACTTAAAAGGACAAAGTAACCTACTTCCTAATTTGATTGACAAGTTCTGTAAATGGCTGTTCCCAAGCATACATCTTAATGATTCTCATTCCAGATATTACTTCATTCATAGTTCGGATTCTGGTGTCTGTAAAGGCTGCCGTCTTGCCCCTAAAGATAAGTTACACGCGATGAAAAAGAAGTACAACTGCACAAATATGTAAAGACTAACACCACACTTGGGAAAACTGTATTCTAAATAAAAGCCTAAATGTAATGTATACAAGGACAAACCCATATTTCATAATTTTGTATAAATATTATAAGTGTGAGACAATGTGTATTTTGTTACTTTTGTCTATTAGATTTCTACATATGCTCTATGGGGAGGAGGAGGAGTACAGAGTGTTTACTTCACTTTAAATGATTGCTCATTTTGCTTTTAAGATGGATTTGCATTAGAGATGCACCAATACTATTTTTTCCAGACCGAGTACAAGTAAAAATGCTTTTCCTTAAGTACTCGTCGATACCAATTACCAATATCTTTTTTTTTAGTGTCATGTGACAGTTTTTCTAAAACAATACAGACTAACGATTTTAGGACAGTGGTGGAGCACCAGGGTCCAGTCACAGCTGCAAATGCTGCGATCCTGGTAGTTCTGCCACTGACTCCCAGCTGTAGAGGTGCTACAAATCTCAGCAATACATTATACAGCAATGCAGAATACCATCAGCTATAGAGGACAACAAATATCAGCAATACCATTATACAGCAACGCAGAATAATACCATCAGCTTTAGAGGACAACAAATCCCAGCAATACATTATACTGCAATGTATAATAATAGTATCTGAATATGCTACATCAGGTGCCGACCTGATGTCTCAGGCAAAGGGTCTCAGAACGGGTGTGGAGGGTCCCAGGAGGGAGAGATGTGTGGGCTTGTGGAAGCGCTGTAAACAGACAACGCATGGTTCCCAAGAAATCTGACATGAGGTCCCCAGCAAGCGCGGGACCTAAGGCAGACGCTTCAATTTGAAAATGTAAAGCGCCAGTATCGGTTTGGGGTACTCGTAATAATGCCCAGTATCAACACCGATACTGATACTGGTATCGGTGCAACCCTTAATTGCATGCATTCACATAGACTTGTATGGAGGAACAAAAGTAAAACAAAAAAAAAAGGTTAAATTTGACGTTAAATGAGCTAAAAAAAAACAAAAAAAACCTGTGTTTTAGTCTTATGTTAATTATCTGTCAAGTTTAAACTGTTGTTAGGAGCTTCCATGATATATTAAGTCTGTGAAGAATCTTCTGCTGGAGCTTAGTATGGAGTGAAGCCAAGCATATAATAAAAGAAAACTGGAGAGAGAAGCGCTGCAAACCAGAATGGAGCTGTACAATGCTTAGATGTAAGGGTACGGATGGGAGGGAACGAATGGTAAAGGTCCATTCGTTCCCTCCCACCCGTACCCTTACATCCAAGCATTGAACAGCTCCATTCTGGTTTCTGGTTTGCAGCTCTCTCCATTTTTCTTTGCTTCCTCAACCAGTCAGACACCCCGGTCCGAATGCTTCTGAAGCCGCTCACCTAACCAGCATACCCAACATTATTTTCAAAACACCCTCATAAATAGAGCTTTCCTTGTGGTCATCAGTAAACCAGTGAATTGTAATACAGATAACAAGAAGCTTAGATATACAAATATAAAGTGATACCTTAATGAAGTAAAGAATTTTCCAAGACACGTTTGTAGAGGCATCAGAATAAAAAGTACTGACATTCCAGCGAGACAGGAGGGCCCAATCTCTAACCAGAGAAGAATTGTAACTGCAATAGCCTGCAGGGGTCCAGCCCATAAAAAGTGCAAGAAGATGGTTACCTGATGATTGAAGAAAAAAAAGTTGGGATGTATAAACTTTACTAAAGAGTTGTGGATAACACCCAAACCTTGTATCAGTGTCACAAAGTCCTCAAGTTACTACACTATGCCAGTTTTATATTGAGCATTCCTTTGCCTGGCATTGTGTACAGTGACTTGCAAAAGTATCCCTCGCCCCCAAATAAAATTGATTTTTATTTGGATTACATGTAATAGACATACACAAAATAGTCCAAAATGGTGAAGTGAATTCAAGAAAATAACTTGTTTTTAAAAATGATAAAAAGCGGAAAAAGGTTTGCGCGCATATGTATTCACAACCCTTTGCTATTAAGCCCCTACATAAGATCTGGTGCAACCAACTACCTTTATAAGTCACATAATTAGTTAAATAAAGACCACCTGTGTGCAATCTAAGTGTCACATAATCTCAGTATATATACACCTGTTCTGAAAAACCCCAGAGTCTGCAACACCACTGAGCAAGGCGAAAACTTGCATGGAGCTCCAGACCAAGGGCAATTGATGGTTATTTTGTATTCCTTCCATTTGCGAATAATCGCTCCAACAGTTGTTCAACAGTCCTTCTCACCAAGCTTCTTGCTGATAGTCTTGTAGCCCATTCCAGCCTTTTGCAGGTCTACAATCTTGTCCCTAATGTCCTTTGACAGCTCTTTGGTCTTGCCCATGGGGGTGAGCTTTGAATGGAAGAAAGAGATTCTGTGGACAGGTGTCTTTTATATACATAACGAGTTGCCATTAGGAGCACCTTCTTAAATTGACAGGACTAATCTGTGTACCACATAGCCAGTCTGTGGGAGCCAGAATTATTGTTGGTTGGTAGGGGATCAAATACTTATTTTACTCTCTGAACTCCAGCTCCATAACATTTGTATCATGTGTTCTTTTCTGGATTTTTGGTTGATATTCTGTCTCTATCATTTAAAATACACCTATGATAAAAAATGACAGACCTTTTTTTTCTTTGTAAGTGGGCAAACTTCTGCAGGGAATCAAATAATTATTTTCCTTAATGTATACAATGTGGGCTTGAAAAGATATACAGGGATGTGCAAATGTGTTGCAACACCTGCCTCTACATAGAATTCTACATCTTTGAATATAAATAAAAATGTAATAATCATAGAAAATAAACTAAATAATATGTCAAATTAAAGGAAACTTAATGTAGATTTAAAATCTGAAAATAAATATCAACATTATTAGGTTTACTTTTTATTTTCCAAAGACTTTTACGATACAAAAAATTATAAACGCAGTGGACGCCCTCCATGTTCATCAAAAAGAGATAATAAAGTGCTTAAGAGACTTTGTTAAATAGGATGCTGATGTCACTGTAAGAAATGTCCTGCACATGCCCTAAGTTCCATTGCACATCTTTGTGCATGCCCACAGACCCGTTCTCAAGGTCAAAAGTAAACGCTTTTCAGGAAGTTACATCTATGGAACCATATTTGAACGGGCCAGCTGCCCACCTCCTTTGCTGATTGATTTTCAGCTATTCCTGTATCCTGACTTTATGTTCCAGGATGACAATGCCCTGGTCAGGATCCAGAGCACCCCCAGGTGGCGCTGGAGCCGGGTCCTGCAGTTCCTGTGCTCGCCTGCGGGTGTCTCCAGCAGCCAGGAACTGTAAGGAACCTGCAGCTCTGGTACTCACCTGCGGTTGTGCCCCAGCTGTGACTGATCATCCCATCACCTGGTGCTTCCTGGGAGGGTATTTAGGCCCTCCCTGCAGTCAGGAAGCTGGGTCAGTATTGTGTTGCTAAACCTGACTGATGCCCATGTCCTGAACCTTGCTTTCTATCTGAAAACCTGTCACCGACCCGGCTTGTTACCCGACCACTCTCCGTTGAATCCTGTTCCTGTACCACGCTGCCCTCCTGTTGACAACCCGGCTTGCACCTGACCACTCTTCTGGTATCCCGAGGCCTGCTGTACATCTGCAGGCCTGTTACCCCTCTTTGTTGGGTTTGTAGTTTTGTTGATGTGGAACCAATAAACTGTGCATATAACCCTATCCTGTGTGGGCATATTAATTTGGTCATCCTGTGTGGGTACCTGCATGTGGTGTGAGAACGCCTGTGCAGGGTACCCTGACAGCCCCTTGCCAACGAGCAAAGACTGTGAAGAACTGTAATAGAACCAGAGGTGTTTGTCATCTGGACTGGCTTGCCCAATCACCTGATTTGAACCCAATCGAAAACTTGTGGAGGAAACTAAGTCTGGAAATATCAAAGAAGCAGCCAAGAAATAAACAAGAATTAACTGAAAGTATAATTCATTGATGGCATTGGGTGATTTCTGTTGACTTAGTGAAAAAGCTAGTTTATACGATGCCCAAAAGGCGTGCGCTAGTGTGAAAAAATAAGGGCTATCCAATCAAGTATTAACATTTACTTTGTTTCAATAAGTGTATATATATGTCTGTTTTATTCATTATGTGCTGTTTCTTTATAAAATGTATCTGTAAAACGGATATGTTACATATTTCTCATAAACAAAAAATAAATGGGTTTTTCACACATATGCTTATTTTTTTATCTCATAATATCTTTAAAGTCATAAACTGATTAATCCTAAGGTCAGATTTGTAATTTAGATAACATTTCTTTTAATTTGGTATATCATTTAAATTATTTGCTATCACTGTTTTATCTGTTCAATTCTATTCAATTAGGCTGAGTTCCATGAAGAGGCAGGTGTTGTAAGACTGCTGCACACCTCTGTATACAAGACAAAATGTATTGCAGAGGAGGTAAGTATTGTAAAGAAAATTACACGTGCGTATGAGAGATACATAAAAGGTTACTGCCTCATAGTTGTCTTTATATTTAGTGGAACAGTAAAAGATAACTGTATTACCCTTTAATAATATAAAGTATATTATACTACTTTGCACAGGGCTGATGATGTTTATTGCCTTTAAATTCTGAACAGTATGTAGCCTTCTAATCATCTTGCCCCTTCAAAGAGACTTAAGAAGTTATATCCACCTATCTTCACAGTGCATTGATGGAGGAACCTTGCATTACATCCTGCTCAATTGATACAGTAAAGTATGTAGCCCCGGGCTAATCTCAGGAGTCGGGTAACCAATGACGGCAACCCGCAGATGCTGCAGTGCCGTCCGTCCGTTTTTTTACTACGGGCGGACGGCAAGAGGTTAAGAATTACAGCAGGCGCCTAACTTTTGGGGTTTTCTCTAGTTGTTGTCAAGGAGCAGATTAAAAAAATGCAGCTTTTTTTTTTTAGACGCTCAATTGAGCTGCTGACTCCTGGATTGGGCAGACTGGGTCCTGAATTCCATATGAATTTGTCCACCCCTGATACATCTCATAACAATCAGGCTGGTGACTCAACTGAGTGGTATATACCCAAAACTATTTCAAAATTATCAGACTAGACCTGGATGTAAATATTATAGGCAATTGTGATTACTGGGAGCCAACGCCTGAAAATAAATAAAGGTGCCTTGAAAGAGTGTTGTTATGGTTATTATGGCAGCATTTTTTTAATTAAGCTTGTCAGTACACGTACTTCAGAGCAAGGTTTAGACATCACTGAGGAGATTGGAACTGAACAACCATAGCATTTATCACACAATTTTTTGGCAGAACAAGTAGCATAGAGATTATTTTTATTTTTTCAAATATATGTTGCGTTATACAACGCAAGCAGTGTGGGGCCACATGTGAGTAAAATTACCTGATCAAACTTATTGACATCATTTGATAAGAGATTAACAATTTGCCCAGTAGTTGTTTTTCCCATGGCTGTATTACTGAGACGAAGGGCCTGAATAAAAAAAAAAAAAAATACAGAGGAATTACAGCAAGTAGACACCACAAAAGAATGGACACATTTATTTGATCTCGTGCATTGGTATCACTGCTGGAGTAGCATCACCATAAAGGTCAAGGGAAGACTGCAAACCTGCCTGAGCTTTCCAATTATAGACCTATAACAGGCACAAATTTACTACTCAAAAGTCTAGATTAACTTGTAGAAAATGTAGTTTATTAAAGACTGGTCATTAATGACAGCCTATATGAACTAGAAAGTGGACATACTTTTAATGGATACTAATCACCCTCTTTGAAGATGTTGGTTAGGAGCACAAAAACAATGCAACATTCTGGCTTCCACAAAATAAATAAAAAGTGAATAGGCAGTCCTAGTTAGACTAACATTCCTTCCTGTAGATAAATAGAAATCTTCTGAGCCACATTAACTGGTCCACTCTGCTGTCTTAAAGAGGGATCCCAATGCTGGTATTCTCATATGCACCTCCTCAACCAATTATTTGTGAGTGTAACATATACAGGTGAAACTCGAATAATTAGAATATCGTGCAAAGTTCATTTATTTCACTAATGCAACTTAAAAGGTGAAACTAATATATGAGATAGACTCATTACATGCAAAGCAAGATAATTCAAGCCGTGATTTGTCATAATTGTGATGATTATGGCTTACAGCTCATGAAAACCCCAAGAACCCAAATCCACAACCTCAAAAAAGTAGATTATTACATGCAATCAATAAAACAAGGATTGTACATTGAACAATATCGGACCTCTGAAAAGTACAAGCATGCATAAGTACTCAGTACTTGGTTTGGGCCCCTTTTGCAGCACTTACTGCAATTACTTTTGCACGATATTCTAATTATTCGAGTTTCACCTGTATGTAAATGTATGATGGAATGGGATATTCCATCATACATACACTTAGATAGGTGTAATCAGAAGAGGTTTCCATATTGGAAGATTCCCCTCAGCTCCTGCTCCAGTGACAACTCAAAAATTTGGGAGTTACCATCACTTTCTGTACCAGACACAATCGTCACTAGGACAAATAGAGAGAGTAAATCTTCTCGGCAGATTCTCAGACAGCAATAAAAAAGATGACAGAGGTTTACCCATTCTTCATTTTATTGACACCTGTTGGCTTTATATACTGTACACTTTTCTAACTACAAGCATAGTAGAAAACCATGCAGGTCCTTATCTCTGGCCAGAGGTGGGACTGTAGCCCCTTTGAAAAATACTTAGGTTAAAACAGGTTAAAAAGGGACATCTCCAGAACGAAGTGCTGGTTGCAAAAAGAAACAAAAAGAGTTTGTGTGCTGAAAAGAAGAGTTTCTATTTTGACTGGATCCTCTCTTTAAAAAACAACATGACCAAGGGCCTGTTCACACCACTTCCAGTGCGTTCCAGCAGCTAAGCATGCTGGAATGCAATGGATTGCATACTGTGAAAGCTCCGTGCGTTCTGGGGCGGGTGAGGGCGTGGAGGTGCATTCAAGTCAATTGCACCGCAGCCAAGCCCCCCCCTGCATCGCAATCACCCGCACCTTCACCGTATGCGATCCAGTGAGCTCCAGCACGGTTTGCTGCTGGAACGCACTGGAAGTGATGCAAACAGGCCCTAAAACCAACATAGGAATAAGTAAAACATCCATATATAGAAGAAAACAAGTAGACAATTACCAAATATCAAGAAACAAAGTAATAAGAGTTTGCTATGACAGCATGACCTATATTATGTAATGATATAAAAGAAAGTAATATACACTATAAAACAAGGTCACACTGCAGGGCACCTCACCTTTTTATAGATCATATGACACATTGCCACACGGAGTTTCATGCCAGCACGAAGCACATGATAGAAATAAATATGATGAAAGACTGCCAAGAGCAAGGTACATACAGACAAGGCTGCAGCATTTATATAAGCATTAGCCAGGGCGGCATCACTGGGATTGTCCATTTCAATATAACCCACAACATTACCAAGGAAAATTGGCTGAATCACTTTGACACTTTCCTAGGAGAAAAAAAGAAAACATTTTGTCCCAAATATTTTAGTATTGATTCAAACTGATTGAGAAAGTACAAAATAGAATAATTATCATAGCAAATCATATCAAATGAGACGGATGATACTACAGTCTAATCAGGGTTACATCTATCACAATGTTAACTAGTACAGTTATGAACACAAAAAAGCGCCAAAAAGGACTACTCCGCCAGTATGGACCAATATAAGCACAAGTGTAATCAGAAACAAGTCTGTTAAAAAATATATAAATAATAAAAAGCACGTGTGTAGAAAGGTCTGCAGGATGCTGCCCCCAAACCAGCCAGGGAGACCGCAAAATCTAGGGAAAAAAACACAAACAGGGGGCGCCTTTCCTGGTGCAGACAAATTTATTAAGATCAGGATCAAAGGTAGATAACAAACATACTCACAAAATTCAGCATGATAGTGATATAAAAAGTAAGTCCATGGACCCAATAGAAGTATGTTTGTTATCTACCTTTGATCCTGATCTTAATAAATTTGTCTGCACCAGGAAAGGCACCCCCTGTTTGTGTTTTTTTCCCACAATGTTAACTAGTGCTTAAAGACACAAGGTAGCATGCTGCAAGGTAAGATTTTTATACTTTGCAGCAGCCCTCTGCAAATAACAGCCTAGTGTGTAAATTATCATTTTGCCTGGAGTGTGGCTTTAAAGACTTGCTCCAGGAGGAAAAAAAACTCCCCCGTGCAGTGGGGCTGCCCCCACACTGCAAGGGTTAAATACTAATTTAGATCTAGGGTACCTGTGTAAAGGACTAATGCTTACCTAATCTCTGTTCCCCTAGCAGCCAACGCTCTTTTCATCTCTCCTACCGCTAATCTTGTTTAATCTTGCGCTTACCCAGGTCTTCATTTTGTCATTAAAATGTACAAGGTTAACACTTAGAATGTTTAAAACTGTTCTCCAGCCAAATATAGAAAAAATTAATGCATTTGTCATATGCTTCAACATTTCTAAGAAAACATCAAAGAGTTATATAGGAAGTGCAGCCAATTGTTTCTTTACCAGCAATATCATAAAAGAAAACATCTGAAATACAAAACAGACCACTTGAAGGAACCCTGTGCTGAGAGAAATATGGTGACTGCCATCCATGACCTCCTTCATAGCATGTTTGTTGTCCGTCTGTCTCTGCCTTCAATATTTTCTGAGTCACTGACCCAGAACAAATGTGCAACTAGTGACATCAGATGAAAAGTCAGAACTGCTGATCTACATATTTGTTCCAGGTAAGTACCGTATGTCTTTGGATCAACTGGACGCCACAGACAATATTGAACCAATTACTACGGACTAATACAGGGGGTCCCGAACTTTCTAAAACAAAGGCCCAGTTAACTGTCCTTCAGACTTTAAGGAGCCAGACTGTAGCAAGTGAGAGTAGAAAATGCCCGGTGTCAAGGGTAAACTGCCCAAGGATTGGTGGTCAGTGGGAGTAAAAATGACCTAGGGTTGGTGGTATGAGTAAAAAATGACCTAGCACATGTGGTCACTAGGAGGAGAAATAACGCACCAAATCAGTCAAGCAAAACAAATGGCAAACGCACTCATCAACTCAATATAGTGCGGTCCTAACTCTAACCTATGAGAGTCTCCATCTTGGAGCACATGCAGCAAAAGATAGAATTGGGTGCATCTTGCTTTAAAGCTGGTTATGAGTTGATGAGTGCATTTGCCATTTGTTTTGCTTGACTAATTTAGTGCAGTGACGCATGGGAGGTCTCAGCTGCCATTGTGATGTGCGGGGTCCCTTGTGTGTCCCTGTACCTTTAAGGGGGTTGGGCTGACTCCTGACAAACCTGCACCCAGTTCTATCTTTTGCTGCATGTGCTCCAAGATGGAGACTCATATAGGTTAGAGTTAGGACCGCACTATATAGAGGTGCCTTGACGAGGCAGTGCAGCTTTCACATATTCTGCAGAAGACGTGTATCTAAAACCTCTGCTTTTAACCTTAGCCGTTAGACATGCTTTTTTCATGCTGGCTGGTGAGTGTGCTGGGGAAATGTTTGCTGTTGTAGAGAGAGCAATAGAGCTCCATTGATGGCTTCAGCGGGGGAAATGATGCCCTGTTGTTGGTGTCAGTGGGAGGAATTGTGCCCCAGGGCAGCCATCGGGGGGTACAGTCGATACTCATGTAAGGGGCCCGGGCAGCCTGGGGGGCCCGCCCGGGTCCCTTACATGTCTATTGGCCGACAGTGAAGGGCGAGGAGGCCTGGCCCTAGCAGCACAGGACCCCAGCATTGCCGCTCCAGCGGCTTTGAGACAAGCTAGGGCCCCATCAGCGACGCTGCTCGTCTGATGTCGGACTGGCCGGAAGTGACGTGACGTCACATCTGGCCGGTCCGGCGGCAGACAAGGCCATGTGTGTGGCTGCCCTGTAGTGCCCCATCAATGGTGACAGTGGGTGGAATAGTACCCCATCATATGTGTCAGTGGGATGAATAGTGCACCATTGTTGGTGTCATTGGGAAGACTTATAATCACTCTGCCTGATAAAGGGACCCCGCATGTTCCTGAAATGTTGCTCTATTTTTGTGAAATGATAAACTAAAACAGGAAAAACACCAAGAGTAAATACTTTGACTGTAGGCACTGTATTGATTATTTTTATTGCAGGGAAACTTTTTTTTTCATTCAATTCTCTGTAATCCACTGCATCCACACCCCAAAGAGCATCCTACAGAGAAAGCAGAAGAGTAGGAGTGTACTTACTAAAGCCTGTGCTATGTTTTTTCTTCCTGCATCACCAATCACATATAAAATTCTAAAGCTGGATGGAATCTAATGTATGGCCGTGAAAACATTTTTTTGTATGTGAGAGGCAGCAAAGAGCATGTTGCAGTATCACAAGCAGGTGTATTCTTAGACCACTAGATTATCATCAATAGAAAGCGGGTGGCCTAGTAAGAAAACTTACTTTTAAGAAAGCCTTACAATAAAACAGAGAACATTTACTTACAGAAAATGCACTACAATCCCCTGTAAAATGTATCTCAAAATCTTTATAGGCTATACCTTGAACCACATTTTACTGCAGCAATGATCCAAAAATTTAAATCTGGTTCACCAAGAAAAACAAAGACTCTAGAAGTAATTTGGAAATGTTCATTAAAACAGAGCTTAAAGAGTGTCTTTGTTATTTCACTTCCATGGATGTGATTCTAAGCTGAATAGGCTATTGTTTTACAAGGTAAACTCCCTAACGACATTGCCAATTTTTCCTCTGAAAAAAGGAAAGATACATGGGAGATGCCACTGAATGCTTGGTTTCATAGCTTTTACCAAATTATATATATATAAAAATGTGTGTGTGTGTGTGTGTGTGTGTGTATAGTAGGTACTGGATCAATGACTCATTAGTAATTGTGAGGGAATAGTGAGGGAAAGGTTAACAGCACCAAAGCATATGCCTTCGAAAAAAATTCAGTATTGGCATCTCCCACATTTCTTTGCGACAAGTTCTCTTTAGTAATATGTCCTCATATCATTCCTGTAATAAACCCTTTCACTGCTGGACCATCTTTCCCATTTTCACATACATGCTTGACTTTGACATTGACTAAAGACCCCCAAATCGATATTTTTTTCTGAAAGTGCAGGATCTACAGAATACGAAGATGGTAGACTCAATATTTTATGTCACATAGTATTCGTGCAACTGTTCATAGCATCTATTTTTTTCAGCAAAATTCATGTTTTTACTACAAACGCAATATAATATGCACATTTTACATTAAATATAAAAGACAAAACTTTTTAAATTTTAAACCCTGTAAATCTAGGTTTCAAAGTCTGTGCACAATTACCAAAAAACTATGATACCCAACACCAGAAAAAAAAAAACCTTTACAGCATTTCACATTAGAGCTAAATGTATTTTTATATAGTTTATTTTCATTTTTTTTAACTAAAAGCTAAACTATAAGGGGGTTATTCAAGTAGGAGCCAAAGGATCCAGCCATAGCTTTGGCTGATCCTCCTGCTGTCTTTGGTTCGACTGAACTGAAGGGCTTCAGCGGCCAAAGGGCTGCTGTACAGGCTTATCACTATAGCCCGAAACAGCAGCCGCAGGCGGCCGAGCGGCTCATCCAAGCCGAAGGCATATGCTTCGGCTCGACTGAGCCGAAGTGACACCCGAAGCGGGGCGAGTGGCCTGCCGAAGGCCGGCCTTTTGCCCCTCAAATGGCAGCTGGGTGAAGCCAGCTGTGATCTCAAGGCTGGCACCGCCCAGTTGTACTGACAGATCAGCGTACCCAAATGACCTGGGGACGCTGTCCGGTCAGTTGTTATTGGTCATTAAACAATAACAACTGGGCGGAGCCGGCCGTGATGTCACGGCCGGCTCCCCCCAGTTGTTATTCATTGGCCGCGGCCTGCTAGAAGACTCTAGCTGGTTCTGTCCATTAGGAAACAGTTGGGCGGAGCTAGCTGTCACTGCTAGTTTTAATTTTTTTTTTTTTTAAATCTTTCTTTTTTATTTTTATTATTAATTGACATTTAAAAAAATATTTTTCAACTTTTTTTAACTCTTTATTGATTTGCAATTTTTTTTAAACCTTTTTTCATTTTTTTTCTCTTCACTCTTTTCCCTGATTTTCTATTCTGCTCGGTACCTCGCAGGTACCAAGCAGAATAGCCGAGCTGAATGCAGCTCGGCGGCATTCAGCTATTCACTCACTGCTGTTCGATCCCTACGTGAATAGGGGTGAACGACAGCGGGTGAGCTGCCGAAGCTTTGGCTCAGCCAATCCAGATGTTGGCTGAGTCGACGTCCTTCTGCACTTGCTCTGCATGTTCGGCTGACCGAAGTACGGCTGATTTCAGCCGTACTGAGCCATAGTGAATATCCGAACGTTGTTCGGCTCACTTCACTGCGGCCGGGTTATTCACTCAGCTGCCTTCGGCAGCTGTGTGAATAACCCCCTAAGTTTTTTTAACAATACCCACTTTGATGCATTCCAAGTATTAACTGCTGGTTAAGTCTAGGGGTAGTGAATTAAGCTGTACAATGTTCTATATTCATCTCCTCTTAAAACAATCCCGCCAGCTGTCAAACTCTGGTGTTAGTACATTCAATGCAGGATCAATAGTTCTGCATTGTATGTGAAGGACGATGAGAGCCTGCTCACAACCCAGAGCATCAGGCAGGAGAGTGAAAGAAACCTGCCGGCGAGAGGTGAAGGTTTACCATTACAGCTTATTCCTCTACCCCCAGATGAGCAGTTAACTCTGGCAGTGCAGGAGGAGCACTGCAATGGTATTTATTTTTATTTTTTTACTAAAATCTCATAGTTTAGCTTTACAGCAAAACTCCAGACAAAAACAAGATAAAAATGAATATCTCATTAAAACATGAAATGATGTCATGAATTCATGTCTGATTTCCCCAAAAGTACTTCTTATCTGCTGATTGATGTCCTACTTGCTTTGAGCCCAGGTCATGTTGGACCCAACCCAGCCTGTTACTGCCTCTATCGCTCACATTCCAGCTCTGCTGTACAGGGACTGCAAGAGTCTGATAACAGGTCAAATACTGGTACTTACACTGCCTGCTTTTAAAAATATATTGTTTGATGTATTAATGATTACTAATCAATAATACATCAAAAAATATATTTTATCTTATGCATTAATTTGTGTCTTTTTTATATTTTCATAGAGTTTAGCTTTAACTTTATTACTGTGACACGAAAGCTGAGAAGCCCCTATTTGAAAGCACAGGTACTCTTTATGCATTGTTTCAAGGGTCTATTATACCCCTGAAAACTTCTCAGCTTCCAACTCATGAAGATCGGGAACAAAGCGTTCCTGAGCTGCAGCTCAGTTGTCCCGTTCCGCCCTGATACGAAGTGTGTGAATGCAGAAATGCTAAGGGCTGAATATTTCTTGGGACGTTTATCACTGAACAGATCAATAAGTGGAACTTTACCAATCCCCTGCTGCTCTCCATCTTGATCCTTGCTCCAGCAGACCAGCAGGCCTGGGTTTCTTAGAGGACATAGGTAGGTGGACCATATGTAAGGGGGTCAAACTACTTGCCAGCATGTTGAAATGATCAGGTGGCTGTACACTTGAAAAAAGCTGGCTGTCAAATTTTAAAAGATGCTAATGTCTGCTTTAATGGCCATGAGCTTGCTGTCAGCCATTGACCGCCTTGCTGTAATAGTTATGGCAGTAAACAAGTTAAAAATATTCATGGCATTCCTAGAAAATCTGGGGTAACAATAAAATAACGTTAAAATCGATTTTCTGCAGATCAGGTAAAAATAACATGAATGTGAACTCATCAAAACATCAGCAGCTTTGCCATTGATAAAGCCATACCTCAATGAAAGTAAAAAATCCTAAAACGGAGTAAGATTTCCAGTGGCAACGTATAATTGCTTTGGTTAAGCGTGGGGCTCGGCCTTCCTTCTGTGCTTTTTGTAATTCTTCATCCCAGTACCTTTAAAAAGGAATGACATGTATAAAATGTACTATTCAGCCCAGCCCCCTTTTTCAGCCACTCACCTCTCACTTGCCAGATAGAAGGACCTGACCATCACATCCTGAAGTGAAGATTTGGGCAGAGTCTCCCATATCCTCAGAGTCTCCAAGAAGAGTCTGTTTGTATGTATAAAATGTACAGTACTCAAAAATATCATTTCATTTTGGAATATTTTCTCTAAACTCTTATCAACTGCTGATATTTTGCAGCACTTCATGGAGGTGGGAGAGCATTTTCTCTGAAGTAGCAGTAGAGTCTTGTGCTGTGTGAGCCATCAAGAAATGCAGGTTTGGAATTAAATTGATACCTTTTATTGGCCAACTTAAGTCATTAAAGTTTCAAGCTCTCATGACTTTGGGCCCTTATTCAAGTATTAGAATGTCTGAAGAAGGGATGGCTTAGCTTGCATCTTAATTAAATTAAGTCAGCCAATAAAGATTATCACTTAAACTCTGCAGTGAGTTCTCATCAGTGACAGGAACAATAGTGCAACTTGGTCGCTGGGCTCTAAAGAAGTGAGTTGAGACTTTACAATCCTTGCACTGCTTCTCATTTAGATTTACCAACAAAATTGTGCAATAAGTGTGCCAGTTACGCAGCCTGAGATTATATGTGCCAACATTGCCTCACTGGCTGATCTGCAGTAAAAAACCTAGTACCCCTTGTTATGTAGGCATACATGACACTTCTGGGTAATTGCCAGTCCCGAGTTCGACCACACAGGCAATGTGATATTAAATCCTCATATATTTTTAATGAAATCAATGCTACAATATGTTTCCTATCCTCCTCCATCCTCTGCCTGTGTTCCATGGAGTCGCTCCCTGTGCACGCTCCTGTGTTAGGACTACAGAATTATGTAAGAATGCAGCCTGCCTGATATTTACAGGACTGCCTAGTTTTGATTGGCAGCGTCTCCAGTGTGCTGGTGCTGTGAACGGCTCATTCACATCAAGGTTTTTTGTTTGTTTTTTTTCCAACAAGCTTTATGTCCTATGTATATGCAATAGCCTATAAACCATGTAATGTTTATGATGGCATCAGTCTTTTTTTTTTTTACAAGCATTATGCTTAATGTGTACAGATTGTGGAGCAATGTAATGTTTACATTGCTGCAGTCTTTTTATATTAACAAGTTTTGTGTATGCTTCTTAAAAAAGCATATTGCTCTACAATCTATACACGTTAAACATAATGCTTGTGAAAAAAAAAAAAGGCTGAAGCCATCATAAACATTACACTGCTTCAATGGCTATTACATATACATAAGACCAGGGGCGTAACTAGAAATCACAGGGCCCCATAGCAAAGTTTTGTATGGGGCCCCGTGATTCCTAGTTATGCCACTTGCAGAGCCCACCTGATATACAAAACAGCCCACCCGAGAGTAACCCTGCAGAGCCCACCATAGACTCTCTATAGTGGGCTCTGCTGGGTCTCAGATGGGCTGCACACCTCTTACCTGTCAGCGCTGTCCGACTCCGTGGTCGCCGGGTCGCCGCCTCCTCTTCCGTCCCCGGGCCCTGCCTCCTCTTCTATTGACTGGCCCGCCACCTCTTAGGTTGCTGGCCAGTGATGTAAGAGGAGGCGGGTTTGCTCTTAGGCGGGCCCCGCCTCCTCCTTCACTGCGAATGCTGGCCACTTCTGCCGTAGCTGCTGGCTGTCACTGACATAGCTCTGCAGCGGCTGTGAGGGGAAACGCCACTGCTGAGCTGTGTCAGTGACAGCCAGCACCCTTACATGCCATAGCGACCCAGAGGGATGGCCTGGCCGGGCCCCATAGCGGCCGCCTAGGTGGCTATGGCGATTGTTACGCCACTGCATAAGACATAAAGCTTGTTGGATAAAAAAAAACTCAATGTGAATGAGAGATCTCAGCCGAGAGCGGTCCTGTACACGTTGGGCAGGCTGCATTCTTACATAATTCTGTAGTCCTAACACAGGAGCGTGCACAGGGAGCGACTCCATGGAACACAGAGGGAGGATGCCGGCACTTGCAGAACGGAAGTTCCCCCCAGCATTCTTAACTTTGAAGATTTAAAAAAACAACAACAGCAGCCCTAGGGTCTGAAGCAAGCATGGATAACAGTAACAAACATATTGTAGCATTGATTATTTAAAAATATGTGAGGGTTTAATATCACTTTAACCTTTGCAGTGGGGCTACACCTGCACTGCAAGGGTTAAGTGTTCCTTCTTGTCTAGGGACGAAAATAAAGAATATATACTCACCTGATCCTCGGTCTTAACTGGCTGCTAGACTGGTCCCCGTAGCCTCCTCTGCCCCGCGCTTCATCGGTCCAAGGACCCGTGACATCATCACATCTAATTCAAGTCCATTGAACACGAGGATGCCAAGAGACATACCACAGCCGGAGCGGCGGAGGAGAGAGGAAAGTGGTCACTGCCACAGGACTGAGGATCAGGTGAGTATATCTGCTTTATTTTTCACCCGTAGACCAAAATGATCACCTAACCCTTGCAGTAGCCCCACTGCAAGGGTAAATTTGTTAATTCGATAAAAATTCCATCCTGCTTCATTGATTTTTTTTTTTGGTCGAACAAAATTCTACTGGTGTATGGCCAGCTTTATTTGAATATTTGTAAAAGAAATTAAAAAGAATGAGCATGACAGACACCTGGCATTTGCACAATGGGAAGTGGCAATGGCAGCCTACACGCTTCTGTCAGGAAAGGTTTCCTTTAAAAGACCAGAATTTCAGAAGCAGCACATTTCTTAAAAATGGAGGCTGCTTTATGACACACAAATCCTTCAACTCTGAAGTACTGTATATACAAATAATCTTTTCCTGAGTTTCCTAATGAAGGAAATGTGCTCCTGTGATAGCAGTCTAACCGCATATCATGACTCCAGACTTGTCAACAAGTACAAGAGGAAGTGTATAAGCTCTGTGACAGCCAGCCCTTGATTTAATAGAACTAGCAGACAGCAGTCCGGCTTCTTTCCAAGATTATACTGAGATATGGTGGTTTATTCACCCAGCAAACAGTAATAATGATGGAAACAATGAGGAGTCCTGAGCAACCAATAGGATTTCAGTGTACTACAGTAAAGTTCTGAATGGCTGCTTTTGCTTAATGGATATTGCCTTAAAAGGAGAACTATGGGGGTCAGTGTTTTTCCCCATAGTTCTCCTAAGGGTAACGGGAGGACACAAACTAGCGTCCTCCCGTCACCCTAAGCTCAGTATACCACGAGCTACAGCTCGCAGTATACTGAGACGCCGCAGCCGGGACGGATCCCGACATTACTGTCGAGATCCACCCAGCTGCGGGATTGACAGCTGGCTCTGCCTATCTAGAGGCAGAGCCAGCTGTGCCCGCCCCCTCCCCGTCCGTTCCGCCAGTCAGTGCTGGAGGATCGGAGCGGAGAGGGGGAATCCCTGCAGGGAGCCGTGAGTGACAGTCACGGTTCTCTGCAGGGATAGATCGAGAAGTGAGCGAGCGATGCTATGTGTTCGCTTACTTCCCGATCTACTGAGCCGACCTGTGACAGATTCATTGTCACAGGTTGGCTACAACTATGAGGCTGAGTGAAAATCACTCGCCTCATAGTTCTCCTTTAAGGGTATCTGTGGGCAAAAACTAAGAATAAATATGTATTTGTATATTGCATTTCCGTAGGTTCTATCCTACTCCTATAGCCATATTGATCTAGAAGTTTGTAAATGTACCTATTGACGATGCCCATAGAATGTACTGCCTCAATGCACTGACAATTCACTCAGCCCTGTAAATATGCACTTTCTTGTGTTACCACTCTAACAAAGTCTGAACTACAACATAACATGTGAACTTCCCACAATGTACCATCATCATTGCTTGCTGGAAGCAATCCATGATGGGATATGTAGTCTGGAGAAATCGAGATTACATCACATCAAGCAGCAGAGAAAGAGATGCAAAGCACACTAGGAATCCAAGAAGTTGAAAAAGAAGGCAGCATTCACTATATAAAAGGATTGTTTTCAAGTAAACTTTGATTACATTAGCAAAAGCAACTCTAGTATGTATTCCTATTACAATGTTGAAGGAAATGTTGTCTTTTCAGTGTTTTTAAAGTGACTATGGAAAAGATACTGTATTAGGATGATATGTTGATATTTTGGAAGTATTGTTTTTATGTACTGTATAATTTGTAAAAATATTTGTACATGGGGGAAGCTGTGTTACCTGCGTTCGATGTATTATCTGCTACACCATGATTGTAGCGGTGCTACTTAGATATATGATTAAATGATAATTACATTATCATTAACCACTTCAGTACAGGCATGTTATACTAACTTCATTACCAGGCCATTTTTTTTAGTTTTCAGTGCTGTGAAAGTATGACAAATCTAATATAATTATGTGTCGATATATAAAAGCTAAATATTTAATGCTGAACTCCAGGCACAGAAATTTCCACTTGCATATATTCCTCAACAGCCACAAAGTATCTAAATCTACTTTATGTGCGCCAAATGCCTTTGGAAACCCGATTATAACCTTCTAAAAGTAGCAGTGAGATCATTACTGTTCTGCATGTAGCCTGTACAGAGTGTAGAGCTCTGGGAGGGTCCCAGCAGACCCCACCCACTACAGGCTGCCTACAGAAAACTACAGGAGGGGGTGGAGATGAGACCAGTCACCTAGCCCACAAAGAGATAGCAGAAGTGACTGGTCTTTGTTACAGGAAGAGGCAAAGTTTCACCCTGGATCTGGAGAAATACACAAAGCTTGCCAAGATTCACATAAGTGATAATACACATTACGGTTTTATTTGCATGTCCCGGAGTACAGCTTTAATAACAGCTATACATTGACTAGTTAATCTAACCTACTTCAACCAGTTCAAAATGCAGCACATTTTAAAATGTTTTTATTCCCGGCCAAGACAGGAATAGTGCATGAATGACAACCCATTATAGTTATTGTGGTCAAACTGTTCTGCCATTTTTTTGCTTTTGTTCTTATATAAATGATAAAGACAGACTAAGCTTCAACATTCTGTTATAGAAGACAAGAAGCCTCTTACCGCTGGAGCTCTTCTCCAAGCCTCTCTGAGCTGTCTTCTGGCAGCACTTTATACATGTCATCTTCTTCAAGCTTCCGTTTGTGACCAATAAGAAATAAAGAATTCAACCAGCTTTAAAGAAAAATGTAAAAAAATATTTATTATTATGTTTGCTATATAATATGCATATAGTATACAAGTGGCATACATACATATCAAATACGTATCCTAGGTGTTTTTAAGAGGCACTCACTACTATAAAACAGAAAATATTTAAAAATGATTGCTAGATATGTCCTATAACTCATTTTAAAGAAGAACGTCTGGCACAAATTGTATTAACTCTTGCAGTGGGACTCCCCCCACACTGCAAGGGTTAACTGATCGTTTTACCAAGGTCAAAAAGAAAATTCGGAGCCAGCCTCTCTCCTCCTCCACTGCAGTAACAGTATGTCCCTCCACATCCTCATGTCCAATACACAGTGTAATGGATGTGATGTCTCAGGGTCCTTAGACCGCTGCAGTGGAGGGAGAGACACTTTTTTTTTTTTTCCCCTTTGGCAAGAACGAGCAGTTAACCCTGGGGTAGCCCCCAGGGTTATTAAAATTTGTGTCTGGACTACTTCTTTAAAGTTACTACAAAATTTAAACCACATGTGGCAATAAAGGATTACATCACATAAGAATGTTTGCTTCATACCAAAACTGATGCAAAGATGCCCACAGAGAAACCATCTTCACAGCTGCTTAAAGCTTCATCAGCAGTTACTCGATAGGGGTTGAATTTTTACAATCAAAAAGGTTGCTCACTTTGCAGGGGAAGTTGCAGTTTTGCAAGGAAATTGTTCCTTAGTTCAGTGAATAAGGTGAAGCTCGACTGACATCCATCATCCAATCATGTGCAAGCAAAAACACTGTTTTATTTTTTTTTCCCCCCACACATGATTGGGTATTCTTTACAAAAGGAATGTTTGCCACATTCACTAAGCAAAGGGAAAATCCCCTTGCAAAGTGAACAACCTATTTGCCTTTAGTAAATTAGCCCCAAACATTAGATGAAAAAAACCGACCACGCGAAGATGAAGTTTGTATTAGGCATAAAACAGCCTGAAATGTCACATGTGCCTATAGATAAAATGTATAACATATTTGGCTATAGTGTGTTTGGTTCCAGTAGCCAGATCTGTTAGCATACTGCCAGAATGTATGTATTCCCTTCCTACAAGATTACAGAGTAAGGGCTCATACTCGTGGGTATCACATGCATATTTGACTGTTTTTTGAGCTTTGGCATAGGTAAAACACCACGTGTGTCAATATTTCTGATGTTCAAATACATTTGTGTAGACATAAATTGCTTATTAGAGCACCAGCATAGCTATGCGGCGTTCAAAACATCTGCAGTAAATTTTCTGGGCTCTTGGCTGCGCCGACACTTGATGCAAGACAATACGAATGATAAATAAACACCCTGAAAATGCACACAAAGCGTTTTTTTGGTTGTTTTTTTTTTACTATCTGTGAATCCTAGTATATCCCCAGTCCTTGGCTTTGCCTGGCCCAGGCGTTGCTATCAAAAAGCATTTTAAATAATGCTTAAAACCGGTTTAAGCTATATTTGCATTGAGCAGCTTTTTTTTTTTTTTTTTTTTTTTTTTTTTTAAGCAAGCCTGTAAGTATGAGCCCTTTGAGTTCTTGTAATAACTGCCTGGCACAACTCAACAGAAAGTGTAATTTGAGGTCAACAACTAATCCACACCAGCCTTGGCACCATTCTCAGTAAATAGAGAGCCAGGCTTTCTTCTTTTACTGACAACGTAGGTGTTTTACCGAGGCCATTCACCTCTGGCTCGAAACATTCACAGGGCAAACAAAATGGCTTGTTTATATCTACTGATGACAGAAGGTATGCTGGAATGGGCAGACCATAGACTTGCTCCTGTTGCATTTCCTTACAGGCGGTAACCAAACAGATATACTGTAAGCTCTCACTTTAGTGCACATTATCCATATGCTCTACTTTTAATGGACATTACTCTAGACCAGCCTTTCTCAACCAGGGTGCCTCCTAGCCTTGTCTGGGGTGCCTTTACATTTTTGCACAGTGTCATGCATTTCGATGGTGCAGGCGAGCCAGGCACTAGAACCATAGAAGTAGGCACTAGTACCATACAGGTTTCCCCCACACATTCAGAAGAGGCCAGAATGCTTCTTCCATCCAGTCCTGCTCCACCTCCCACTTTCTGCCATAGCTGCTCTGTGGTGAAGATTTTAAGGTAGGACTCTGATGTTATGTGGAAAACTGAGGACTCTGATGTGAAGGGGGGTTCCTGATGTGAAATAATTTCCTGATATGAAGAGGGGGGCTTTAAATGGGAAGGGGGCTCCTGATAGGAAGGGGCCTCATGTGAAAGGGGGAGCTATGATGTCATTTTGTATTTGTTTTTTGCATGGGGTCAAGCCTTAAAATCCATACCAGACCCCTATCTGGGATAAATGGCCTGTATAGATTAAAGGCAGGAATTACACATCATTTTTTTTAGATTTACCATTCTTTTTTTTACTGTTTAGACTTTAGTGCCTTGATATTTTGCCCACTTTTAAAGAGTGCTGTGACTGAAAAAGGCTGCGAAACGCTGTTCTAGACTCATCTAAACTGGCATTTGTTCTCCTTTTAATGCATATTACCCTAGTCCCCTCCAAACTGGTATATGCTCTACATATAATGCACATTATGGGTAGACCCATCAAAAACTGGTATATGCTCACCTTTTAATGCACATTATGGGTAAACCTGTCCAAACTGGTTTATGCTCTCATTTTAATGCACATTACTCTAGATCCATCCAAACTGCTGTATGTTCTCCTTTTAATGAACATTACTCTAGGCCCATCCAAACTAGTGTATGTTCTCCTTTTAATGCACATTACTCTAGACCCATCCAAACTGCTGTATGTTCTCCTTTTAATGCACATTATCTGTAGACCTACCTAAACTGGTATATGTTCTCCTTTTAATGCACATTACTCTAGATCCATCCAAACTGCTGTATGTTCTCCTTTTAATGAACATTATCTGTAGACCTACCTAGACTGGTATATGCTCGCTTTTTAATGCACATTATGGGTAAACCCATCCAAACTGGTAGATGCTCTGCTTTTAATGCACATTACTCTAGACCCATCCAAACTGGCAGATGCTCTGCTTTTAATGCACATTACCCTTGACCCATCCAAACTGTATATGCTCGCTCTTTAATGCACATTACTCTAGAACCATCCAAACTGGTATATGCTCTGCTTTTAATGCACATTACCCTAGACCCATCCAAACTGGTATATGCTCTCCTACCTGTGACAGTCATTGTCACAGGTCGGCTAGAACTATGAGGATGAGTGAAAAGCACTCTCCTCATAGTTCTCCTTTAAGTCTGCTGGTAATCAAATTCCAAGAATACAAGTTGCCTGGCTGTCACACATCCTCTGCCCTCAAAACTTTAATAGTCGCTGACCTGGCACACACTACAAAATGGGTAGTTAGGGTAACGGTAGAGCTCCTGTTTTGCATACTTGTTCTGAGCCATTGTTTTGGAAAGTATTGGAGTCGAAAAAACAGTATGACAGCCTGGCTACTAGCATTTGTAGAAGGTAATGGCAAGCTGTGTATTTCACTTTTGACAAGTGTTCTTTCAAACTAGGCAATAAGTACCTAGCAATATAACCAGCAATCATCTCTTGAAAGGGTCCTGCCTTGCAAGCTTCTCTACCAAAGCGCTGGGTGAGCACAATTTTCCTGAAACATTTTTAAAAACACTTAAAAAACAGTTACTAAAGAAATGGGCAATGTCCAAGTGTGAAAGTCATTTTGTGCCAAGTTACTATTTGCACACACAACAATGCTGCCAGCTTGAACATGTCCTTTCCTTAGCTTTTTTGTGGTCAGCTAATAGAAAAAATAAATTCCCGCCAATGTGGAAAGGAAGGATGAAAAAAGTGAAAGTAACAATTGTTAGATTTGTCATAGCGCCTATCTCTGCGCTCACTGTTGTAGAGATTTCCTGTCACTCAGGTCTACCCTTCACACTAGTACACATGCTAAAACACTGTGGGCTAGTGTGCTGAGCGAGGTCCAGGAAAGGTGGGGGTGTGATTCGCTATTTCAGTATATTACTCTGCTTACATTTTCTTTAAACTGTATTGGGAGTGTACAAAGTGTATACTTCATTGAGATCTCTGCATAGCAGCATACTGTGCTGTGTACAGTTCCATGGCCGCTAGTGTGATCCAGTGCACTGCAAAAAAATGCAGCATGAGCCCTTACTGTCCTTGGAGGCACTAGTCACAACAAGAAATGAGGAGAACATCCCCTGAGAGTGGTCCTAACTTTTCTACACTGTATCTAATACATATAGTAAACCAAATCCCAAAACGATCAGTAAGAGCTCATTCACACCATTAGTGGTGAATTGTGTTTTTCAGCAACTGATCAATGCCAGTCACCAACAATTTTTCTTTATGTACCCCTCTCACACCACAACGTGGGTGTGATGTACGGTGTGAAAAAATGCAGACGGGCTAGTATCAATGCCAATCTTAACTGTTCTGTCAGAGTCAGGCATACTCCTCCAGCGCCACTCTATTAGAGCTTAAAGGAGAACTATGAGGTGTGATTTCCACTCATCCTCATACTGTAATTAGAGCCGACCGCTGACAAAGAAGCTGTCACGGGTCGGCTCTATTGATCAGAAAGTGAGCAGAAACATGCACCGATCCGCTCACTTCCCGATCGTCTCCCTGCATGAGTGGTGACTGTCAGTGGAGGAACAAATGGGGGAGGGGGCGGGCACAGCTGGCTCTGCCTCTAGATAGGCAGAGCCAGCTGTCACTCACGCAGCTGGTGGATCTCGACAATATTGTTGGGATCCGTCTCGGCTGCGGATCTCTCAGTATATCGCTGGCAATAGCTCACTACATACTGAGCTTTGGGTCACGGGAGGAGGTTAGTATATGTCCTCCCGTGACCCTAAAGAGAACTATGGGGAAAAACACTTACCCCATAGTTCTCTTTTAAGGACCTGTGTTGACATGCTTTGGCAGGTGCATTTTCTGCAGATGGCTTCTTTCTAACTTTCATTTGACCAGTTTCATGTAGGTTATGCATTCTCATAGACTTTTTTTGAGAACGCAAAACTTGAAGCAAAAAAAAAAAGCCCTATTTACACAGGCCCTTAATGTGATGCGCAGTCATAAGCGTGTGGGAACACGCTGTAAAACGCCCAGGTGTGAACCAGGCCTAATAATCTGACTGTACAATCTTTAGGTCTACAAAAATTAATTGTAAATGTAATATTAGGACATAGCTAAACTATGCAATCAATTTGTATCCAGTCAGGCAGGTCCTTGCACTAGATAGATGTTGGTAGATCAGGTAGAAAGTGTATGATAAACTGAATGGCGGCCACAAACATATTTGATTAATTCATAACATTGAATCAATACATTCAATTGATCATCCAAAATGACTAACTGATCAAACTGTATAAAATCACAAACCAAAGACCCTCCATTTGGTCGATTTAGTGAGCTCTTAATCAATTTAGATACTGCCAAGTCATTTGGCCATGGTGGAATTTTTTTTTTGATGAAAGGAATATTTGCCTGCGTGCCTGGAGACCCGATCATAATTTAGCTTGATTAACCCCTTAGTGACACAGCTTTAAAAAATGTTTTCGTTCCTGGAGACTGGAGCAATTTTGCCATTTTTGCTATGTGTTTGTTTAACCATATTTTCCCATCTTCCTCATGCATTGCACCTACACATATTATATACGGGGGGGTTTTTAAAGGAAAAAATTAGCTTTAATTTGATGCGACATATGCATATATGAATTCTTATTTTTTATATAAAATTTAAAAAAAATGTTTCAGTTTTTGCAATAATAATGTGTACATAATTAGGGTAGCTAACAAAAAGTAATTCATAATAAATCCTTCTATTTGTTCTGATTTATAGGGTATATCATGTCTGGGATTTCAAATTATTTGGGCGTTATAGGTCACAAAATACAAGAAGCGAAATGCAATTTTAGTGTAGAACAATTTAATTTAAGAATGTGGTATGGTCTCCTATCTTTAATAGCCTCCTCGGCAATATATTTTCTTATAATTTTTTTTATTAAACTTTTTTTTTTTAAAACGTCTTTCCTTTTTTTAAATTTTTTTAAAAACTTTTTATTTTTAAAGTTTATTTTTTAAACTAGGGAGCACTTAGGGTTTTTTTTATTCATTTATTTAAAGGGGCTTTGATACATCGTATCTCTGAGTAGAATACAATATTCTTCTTAGAGATACTTTGTATCACTTTTGTAAAACACAGCAGGCTCGCAGATTCAAAACACAGTGGGGGGAATTTATCATAGCTATTGCGAGTGTTTGAACTTGCACGGAATATATTTGATGCACTTTGCGTCAGATTTATGATGCTAGGGTAATGGTGTTCATAAGAAGGTTTAATAAACTCCAGTAAAGAAGACTTGTAACTCCAGGCAAAAAGCTTAACTGTTGTTTCTTGAAGAAGTGGTCATGGGGACTTCTTATGTTGTGATTGTTTTGTTAGGTGATGCTCCAGTTTCAGACATCCACAGGACAAACGCAGATGAAAACAGGTGCAAAAAACATGAAATTGAAAAAGTAGTGCAAGCTCTGGTCAAAACAGGTGCAGTTGGAAAAGTATTGCAAGCTCTGGGACACTTGTTAAAAGATAGATTTGCCCATAAAAAAAATGATCCAAGAGGCTAAAACTGTCGCAATTGCTTTGATAAATTCCCCCCAGTGAGTTGCTGCCGGCTCTGTGACTGTCACAGCTCTGCGATCACAGCGATCAGCTATCTCTGTGATCACAAGACTGTAACTCTCTAATCTGATGTAAAGGGGCCAGCCTCGGACCCCATCAATGGCAGTAACTCAATGAGCGCTGGTCCCTTCATGATCAGCGCTCATTGCACCGCATGATGGGATTATCCCGTCACCGGTCGTTAACAAACTGAACGATCATGACGGGATAATCCCGTCATCAGTCAGGAAGGGATTAAATGATCATTTTTGGTAGGTATTTTAGATTTCTGACTGATATTGATATTTTCAGATGAACAGATCAGAAGTGTTGAATATCGTCTCTATTGCAATATTTATTAATCAATTATTAACTGCTTGTTTTGGATCAATGGATCCCAGATCAAGCTGAATAATACACCAATTCTTCTGACACAGAAAAATGCAGCATTGCAAGACACTGCAGTGATTGTTTCATCCGTCTGGCTCCTCTATCTGAGCACATACAGTATGTACGTAAAAAATATTCATATGTGAACGGACATTTCACAGAAGTTCCGAGTGCATGTGAATAAAGACATTCTGGTTTTGTTATTCCTATCACTTCCCTGTTCTCTGCAACATATCAGACTGCCAGGAGGCTGCATTGCTCCTTACATTTATTAAATATTTTTATGTATAACAATTTTCCCTCAAGCACTCCAACTGTTTTCATAAGTCATTCCATCATCATTATAACTATGGAAAAGTGTACTATATATCCCCTTAAAATTGCAAATTAGCTCCCCAGTTCTTTATTTGGAGTTAAACAGGATGATACATCTTGTAAATAAGGATATGACTTGCCTTGTTCCCAGAAGTTGAACATTTACAAACATTTTGATGGAACAGTGCGCCTGCTGCTTTTCCTGAAAATTTGGGCTATTTTATGTTACACAATACTGGCTAGAAAACGTAAATGCTCACAGATCCCCAGGACATACTGCTACATTGTGCAGGCTGAAGTCTGTTCTAATGACACGAGAATGTTTAAAGCCAACTTTATGAAACATGTAAATGAAAGCAGTGAAAGGTGAACTGTTTCTGGTTTATCTTTCTGCTGCATCATTGCAATGTTACTTCTCCTTTTGTATAATCCTTGAACTTTCATTTGAATGCTGAGCTTTTTCTTTACTCCCACACCTCCCTCCAACTAATTGCTGGCATAGAAAATCAAACCCATAAAAGCCCTTTTTATTCACCTAAACGCAGAATCACATCTTCAGGTTCACGCAACTGCCTGCGTGAAATGGACACTTCCTTTTGGCTCTCCAGTGAAGAAGTCCTCTCAGGATCCAGAAGAGGAACCTCAGCAGTGACACCAGCCAAAAGGGAGTGAAGAGGATGACTGGCACGGGCACATCTGCAGTGTTGTTATACCAGTCTCTTGCACCCAGAAACAGCGTTGGAACGGGACCTGGACAGCGGACTTAGGTAAGTATAAATTGCTTTACAGGATAGGAATCACAGCTAAAAAGCATTAGGGAGGAAGCGCTAGGAGTTGGGTGAAAAATTATAAGTGATACAAAGCTCTTCCAAGTAAGTAGGTATACACCCCGAATTCAGAAATGCAGCATCTGGTATGTATATATTCTTAGTTTGAACAAACTCAATGAAATGAATCTAATAAGAAAATTGACTTACCCACAAACTAGACTAAGAATTCAGCAAGAGAAATAAAAAACTAACTTTCTATGTGAACACAGCTTATGTTACTCACAGTCATAAAATATATTACCCTCATTGGGCCTGTGGATTGCTAATTTGGATTTGGAACAAAATAGCGGCTTGTTGGAAAGCTTACTAACATTCTGGGATGAAAGGAGCTTTTGATAAATCTAGTTTCCTGTAATTTTACTTTCCTAACCTCTATACTAATGTTTGTGTTTAAATTTGTGCTTCTAATTAAAACTAAAAAAAAAAAAGTTAGAGCAACTATAATTGTAAGAATATGATATCTTTTTTAAACAAAATAATATTGTTAGGCCTTGGAAAGAATAAGATGTATGTATAAACTCTCACCTATACAGATGTGTATTTTATAGCATTCTAACCATTTTTCTCTCAGTGTCTTGGGGTTACTTGGCCCTTTATCCTAGCTCTACACAATGTCACATAAAGCCTCGGTGCCCAGCAAGTGGCCTGTGCCCTCCCAATCAGGTGGAGAGCACAGCGGGCTGCATGCTGAGTGACAGTAGCTCCAACGGGCTGTAGCACTGGAACCATCCACCACTCAGCCTTAGACTCCATTCACACCTGAGAGGCTGTCCGAGCGCATTACACAGGATATTCAATGCACTTCAATGTGCATCATTCAGACCATTGTAGGGGCCGCACGGTACAAAACTGCGTGGCCCCCGAAATAGTCCATGCGCGATAATCCGGCGGAATCCGCACGCAAACAAGCGGCATCCGTGCGGATTAGAAAATATTAGCGTTTTTGTCCCACGCGGTCTTCCGCACAGAAAACCGTGCGGGAACCGCAAACGCTATGTGTGAGTGGAGCCTTAGTGATGAACTATGTAATCATATCACACACCATTACATGTGGTGTGCAGGCATTTACATGCAGTGGCTTTCACCTGTTCATTAACTTGAATGGGTGGCAGCTGCCGCATGTAAATACCAGAATAGGGATTCCTGCTGCAGGAAAACCCAATTCCAAAATGACACACAATGGTTATAGTTTGCATTTAAGCATAGGGCATGCCATCTTACAACCTGATGAACTAAGCCTATAGCAGTAGAA